TCTGATTTTTTGCGCATGACACGTCACTACAAAGCAATGTCTTTCATTTTCATCTTGTTTCTAAAAGTTTTCTAGTCAAAAACTGTCTGTAAAGTCTATAAAAGTGTTCTGCATTTTTGCAGATTCTGTTTCATTTTCATAACCTAACATAATTTTATAACAAAATTGCAGATGTAGTACAATCCTTCAAACAAGATACGAATTAAATGAATGAATACATAATTTAAAAAAACAAAATACAAAAAATAAAATGATGATTCAGTGATACAATTTTTACCTGAGAAGTTTCTACCCAAATACTGTTAAAGAATCTGACTTTGTCAGGTAGGAAGCTGTTCCATACCCCCTACAATCTCACACAGCATTACCCTTACCATACTTCTGCCTTTTGCATTCAATTTAAAGATATGTTTAAATTGTCATGGTCATGATGGACATGCTCTGGGATTTAGCACAATACTTAGTTTTACATTTAGAACAAAAGACTTTATATTTTACATTTTATATCTATTTTTATTTTTAGTTATACTTGTTGGTTTATAGCACCATTGATGTCTGTCCTTAAATTTTGTTGTAATGTTTGTAATAAAAAAAATGTTCTGTTGCCTATATCTGTATAGCCTATATCCCAGTCAGATGGTTCATTTACATTTAAGCACATAAACAATGATGACCAAACATGTAAATTGCCACCAGCAGGGGAGGACGTGCATACCAATATTTGAGGAGAAATTTAATTAATACTTTACAAAAAGTACTTTTTTTTTTTAGAAGTTCCTATGGAATAAGTGAGGAACAAATGAGTAACAATTTGATGGTTGACAAATCAGAAGGCGCATTCTATTTATGGTATATGCATGGTATATACTGTTGATTTACTTGAGAACAAACTTGACATTGTACATTTATGAATCACTACCAAAAAAAATAGCTCATACATATCTGAGAATTCACACTGTTCCACTTTCTTTGTGGGTTCCTAATAATTGTGAATCAGAAAGTAAGAATTCATAAAACCTGCACATCAGGCAAAGTATCCCCACAGAAACACATTAACAGTCAGTAGTAGCAGGGCGTTGACATTGCAGACTCTCCTCCAGAGTGGTTCCTCCTGCAGGGAGGCAAGTTCACTGTTTTCAGTCTGTGGAGGTACAGCTTGAGAGCCCTGACCAGTCAGACCACAGAACCACAGAACAAATCTCTGCCATTTAGAATCTGACAAGGAGTCAGAGTCAGAACTGCGGTCAAAGTTTGCTGAGTCAGATGTTATCTGGGGACCTGTGAGGTCGATCCGCGGCTCGAGGCAGTATCTGGACCACCAGGTCAGCCTGTACAGCTAAAGGAGAGAGAGGGAAACCAAAGACAAAATGACAAAAACGGTCAGTGCCATGGTTACCTTCCAGTTGAGGAGTACAGATTCACATTGGTCTGTGGACTAGACCAGCGGCCCTCAACCACCGGGCCGCGGATCGGTACCAGGCTGTGGGTCATTTGGTACTGGGCCGCACAGAAAGAATAAAAACATTTTATTGGTTTATTTTTATTTCCAGCAGAGTCTGCAGGGTGTTATATTTTGAAAAATGACTAGCTCGTCTTCCTGTCACCTTCGTCTGTGCTTGTTTCTGGCACTTGACTGTCAGTTTTCATACCCGGCCCTTACAACGAAGCCGTCAGTCCAACCGCTGCCAAAATGAATAAAAAAGCAAAGGTCTCCGGAGAGCTTCTTTGGAAAGTGGGAGAGACTCGATGCTGAGACAGAAGAAAAAGTAAATACATATTTAGCAATAAAAAGTAATTCTATTTGTTTATGAAACTTTTTAATAGAAAAAAAAATAGTAAATTTTGCTATGTGTGGAATGATCAGTCCATAGAAAATTTTCTTACTTAAAACCGGTCCATGGTGCAAAAAAGGTTGGGGACTGCTGGACTAGACCATTTTCTAATGACGCTGCAAATT